CAGACTGAGCAATAGAGACCCCGAAAGACACAATGTAGGAGCTGGAGGTGGAAGTGGGGTACAATAAAGTTTTAGTTTCATTTAGTTTAGTTTTGAGCATGGAAGAAATTATAGTACACTGGTATGTAGACAGGCTAGATCCAGTTGAGGAGGGAAAATTGAAGACAAAGCAGAGAGTGGAATGGATGTTGGACAGTTGTCCTCCGGCGGGGGGAAGCCTCAGGAAGGACTGTGAAGGGTCTGCCCTCAGGACCTGGAGACGGAGCAGAACCCATGAGAACAGCTGGATATGGGGTAAGAGCTCTCTCTTGAGTCCCCCATTCTCCCTCGGAGAGAGAAGCAGCATGAATGAGTCACTGATGAGTGGGTGAGAAAAACAGTCTGGAGATACAGTCACATCGCTGGGCAGCAATTTTCAAATGACACCATACAGTAAGTCGTGTGCATTTTCTTGTAGTTGCACAGATAGAGAGGAGGAAGTTCATTGACAGGGCTGGGGTTTACCAAGTAAGATTGGTGAAGTAAGAGAGGGGCCAGGGAGCTGTCGTAATGGCTAATTGTGGGACATGGGATTCGGAAAGGGGCTGCCTTGACAGTATTTGCACCATGTGGCACTGAGTTCAGCAGTTGAGTAGTGGGTGACTAGGGCTCCCATGATACCACGCCAGGTAGACTGTTGCCTGTGATATTGGGGTGAGACAGGTTGTATATCCCTACCCCTACCCCCAGCCCCATAATCCAGGTCTGGATTATGAGGCACAGCAACCCCCTGAGAGGTGGCCTAGTGCAATGGCTACACATAGGAAAGTTGGAATCTGTGATCAAATCCAGGTTTCGCTACCTTCTCACTGGATAAGCTGGGCAGGTTACTTAGCCTTTTTGGGCCTTGATCCCTTACCTTCCTGGAGCCATCGTGAGGATTAAATGAGAAATGGCATGCAAAGGCCTTAGCCCAGTGGTAGACACACAGACACACTCAGTACGGATACTGTGGTTGCCTGCTGAGAACAGACTGGGGATTCCACACACCCAGCAATCAGGAAGCCTCTGCGTGGGAGCAGACAAGCCCTTTCTCCTCCTGCCTCCCTTCCTTTTCTCCTCCAGTCACCAAAACACGACAGCCTGCCACTCCACGTCCCCACCGCACTCGGGAAAGGAGGCTTCCCATTGGCCACAGGCAAAGACCAGCCACAGTGAGATGGGCGCTTTGGCTGCTGCCATGGCAACCAGCAATGACCAGACTTCAATTAGGAAGGAGGAATAAAAGGCACCCAATTAGGAGAAGAAAACAGGATTGAGCCTCTTCTCATTCAGGAATGCCCAGGCCTGAGGAAATGCTTCATTGGAGGAGCACGGGTTAGAAACGCTTTCTGCTCAGCCGTTCAGTGTCCACCATGCCTGTCAACCCCTCCAAGTCACCATCCCCACCTTGGAGGAGCCCTGTGCTGGCAAAGAGACAACACAGAAAGGCTGGCGTGTGCAGACTTCAGGGTGAATCTGACTGGGTTCAAATATAGCTTCTGCCACTTCCTGTGTGACCTTTCATTTCTTTGTGCCTCCGTTTCGCCGCTGGCACATAGTGTCTACTTTATAAGACTGGGGTGAGGCTCAATAGAGTTAATGAAGACCAGGTCTGGTGGTTCACACCTGTAATCCCAGCACTTTGTGAGGCTGAGGTGGGAGGACGGCTTGAGCCCAGGAGTTCGAGATCAGCCTGGGCAACATAGCAAAATCTCATCTCTATAAAAAATTAAAATTCAGCCGGGTGTGGTGGTGCACACCTGCAGCCCCAGCTACTCGGGATGTTGAGGCGGAAGGGTCACCTGAGCCCAGGAGGCTGAAGCTGCTGTGAGCCATGATCGTTATTATTGTGCCACTGTATTCCAGCCTGAGCGAAAGAGTGAGACCTGACTCAAAAAAAAAGAGCAAATTAATGTAAAAAACTTAGCTTAGTGTTTGCCACACACATTGCATCCTACTGACATGAGCTACTGCATTATTGTCAATAATGGCAACATAATGGTAATGATGCTCTTACATACACCAGATAAGGAGGAAAGTGATGGGGAGTGATGTCCAGGGAGCATACGGTGTGTGTAGATACTTCATTGCTTTATATCCTTGCTACACAAAATGTGATCCCAGACCACTAGCACTGGCATTCCCTGGGAGCTTGTTAGAAAGACTGAAGCTAGCCGGCCACGGCTCACGCCTGTAATCCCAGTACTTTGGGAGGTGGAGGTGAGAGGATTGCCTGAGTTCACGGATTTGAGACCAGCCTGGGCAACTTGGTGAGATCTCATCTCTAAAGTAAATCAAAAAATTAGCTGGGCGTGGTGGCACACGCCTGTAGTTTCAGCTACTTGGAAGGTTGAGAGGAAGGATCACCTGAGCCCAACAGGTCAAGGTTGTGGTGGCTGTAAGCGTGCCACTGCACTCTAGCCTGTGTGACAGAGTGAGACTCCAACTAAAAAAAAAAATTACAGAAGCTAACCGCCCGTAATCCCAGCACTATGGGAGGCAGAGGCGAGAGGACTGCCTGAGCCCACGGGTTTGAGACCAGCCTGGGCAACATGGGGAGACCTCGTCTCTATAATAAATCAAAAAATGAGCCAGGCATGGTGGCGTGTGTCTGTAGTTCCAGCTACTAGGAAGGCTGAGGTGGAAGGATGCCCTGAGTTCAGCAGGTCGAGTGCCACTGCACTCCAGCCTGGATGACAGAATGAGACTCCGATTCAAAAAAAAAAGAAAAAAAAAAAGAAAGAAATACAGAAGTTCAGGCCCCACCCTAGACTTGTGGAACCCTAATCTGCATTTGAGTCACAGGTCCAGGTAGCTCATGTGCATGTTAAGGTTTGAGAAGCGCTGCTCTGCACCTTGTTTAATCCCCAGAGACCCATCTTTGAGGCGGGCAGTGGGTCAAATTTCACACATAAGGAGACTGAGACAGGAGAACAGAATATGCTTGAGTGACACAGCTGGGAAGGGCAAGCCTGGTGACTCAGCCTTGGTGGCCCCACTACTCTATTAACAGAGAAGGGTTTCACAGCACAAGCCGATCCAGGCAAGGATGGAGAATAAAGAGGTTCCCACTCCAGGCAAGGTCTGTGGTTCACACCAGGAGAGAGGTGACCAGCCCACCGAGGCGGCAGTGACTGCCTCTCCAGCTCCCAGACATGGAGGTCAAGGGCAGGCTCAGAGAGACGTGCACATCTGTGCCTCTCCTCTGCACGTGCCTCATGTTTTCCTGTCACTTCAACTCGTTGTTTCCACAACCCTCATCACAGTTAACATGCTGGCCATCATGGTCAGCACCTTGTCTATTTGGTTCCCATGGAACCCTCAGTCCCCAACACTAGAGTAGCTGCATCTCAGGCTTCCAATAAGAGATCTGAGTGTCAGTCGAGTTACCTTATAGGCGTAATGCCCACGTTTGTGCTCCTTCATGCCCACAATTATCATTCAAATACTCTAATATCTATGGTTGGGCATGGTGGCTTACATCTGTAATCCCAGTACTTTGGAAGGCCGAAGGAGGATTGCTTGAGCCCAGGAGTTCCAGACCAACCTAGGACATAGCAAGACCCCATCTCTACAAAAATTTTTTTTAAAAATTAGCTGGAAATGGTGGCACACACCTGTAGTCCCAGCTACTCAGGAGGCTGAGATGGAAGGATCACCAGAGTCCAGGTGGATGAGGCTGCAGTGAGCCATTATCGTGACACTGCACTACAGCCTGGGACAGAGTGAGACCTATCTCAAAAAAAAAAATACTCTAACATCTAAACAGCATCAGGGTTAACAAAGCCCTTCATTTCTGTTAACTGATTTGTATGTCACAAGCCCTGAGTTAGCTATACATCCCCCCTTTTTTTTTTTGAGTTGGAGTCTCACTCTGTCACCCAGACTGGAGTGCAGTGGCTGCTCCTGGACACCGCAGC